GCCTTGCTCTGTGGCCTTGCCCAGGACTGGGGCTCCCTGAGGCAGCCTTAGCCAGGCTCACCCAGGGAGGGCCTCGCACACAGGCCTCTGCCGGCCATGGGTTCAGGCGCTGGAGCGGTCCTGTGCCACGTTCCCTGCTGTCATGTGCCGTGGGGAGGGTGGTGGCCGCACGTGCCCAGTGGGAGGGGGTGCAGGTTCTGCGGGGTCAGAAGACCCCCCCCTGAGCCCCAGGGAACCGTGTACCCGTTGCTGGTGGAAAGAGCAAGTAGTAGGGGATCCCGGGGGACAACCAGGCCTGGAGACACGTGAGGGGGTTTCCTGGGCTGAGCTGTAGGTTTACAGCCCTGACCTGGGACACTGAGGTCCAGGGAGCGAGGGGCATACCAGGCATGGGCAGTCCTGTCTGCCCGGGGGCACTGCTGGGTCCCACCTCCTGGGCCCGTTCTTAGCAGGATCCTCCGGACTGGCCACCCACTCCCCTCACCCCCAGCACCTCCCACCTCTGTGGCCTGATCGCCAAGTGGAACCACGTGTTGCCTGTCTGACCTCATGTGCTTGGCAGCCAGCCCAGGAGATAGATACTTCCTCCTGGGATGTGCAGTGGAGCCTGGGCTGGAGGGCCCTGTTGGGGGGGGAGGTCAGGGAAGGATGGATATTTGGGGTGGTGTCTTGGGAGGGGGGTCTTCCTGGGCGAGTTGCCATGGCCTTGCTGTTACTGCCAGAGAGCTCAGAACCCCAGGTTTTTCCTGGTATGCCCCAGTCTGAGAGTAGTGTCCCTAACCCCATAGTCTGATGGCAGTGCCCTGTCATGCTAGTCCAAGGGGAGTGTTCTCTCCCCCTCTTTCTGAGAGCCATAACCGGGCCCTCCAGATGGAGGGCAGTGCCATATTTCTACATGCCGCTCAGTCAGAAGGCAAAGTCCCAGCCCCACCAGCCTGAGAGCACGCTCTGCTGGCATGCCACCTTGCAGAAGCCGATTGTTCCAAGACTGTCCAAGCCGGTTTTCAGACTGTTGGCAGCTGAACCCAGCTATGGTGTATTTACACCGCAGAAGCGACAGACGCTCCATGTTAGGGTTCCCCTCCTTCCCCAGGGAGCCCATCTTTCTCTGTGGTGCCATTCTCCACTCTTGCTGTTAGTCTGCTGACTTGCCACACACCTTTCAGAACCATCCCCTTCTCAGTGAAGCCCTCCCTGGCAGCCCTGCTGGTGTCTTGGTACTTGCGGCTGCCTGCCAACCTGTGCCCGTCCCTTCTTTGTAGGCTTCAGGAGGATGGAATGTGTGTCTCTTGTGTTCACTGCCCAGAACAGAGCCAGTTCGTAGGCACCCTGTAAGCGTTGGGTAGGTGGGTGGATGGTGGATGGATGGTGGATGGACAGGTGGACAGGTGGGTGGGTGGATGGAATGATGTGTGGATGGATGGATGGGTAGGTAGGTGGGTGGATGGGTGGGTGGATGGGCCCATTGATGGATTGGTAGGAGAAGGACTGACTGATGGGTGGATGGATGGATAGATGGGTGGGTGAATGGACAGGTGGATGGGTGGATGGACAGGTGGATGGATGGATGAGGGGATGGATGGATGAGGGGATGGATGGATGAGTGGGCCGGTGGACAGGCAGATGGGTAGATGGATGAGTGGATGGGTAGATGGATAGACAGGTGGATGAATGGGTGGGTGGATGGGTGGGTGGGTAGACAGATGGGTAGATGGATGGATGAGTGGGTGGGTGGGGGGATGGGTGGATGAGTAGGTGGATGGATGAGTGGGTGGATAGATAGGTGGACGGGTAGATGGATGGGGATGTTGATGGGTAGGTGAGGGGTGGGGATGGACTAATGGGTAGATGGATGGGTGGGTGGGTGGATGGATGGATGGATGGATGGGTGGGTGGGTGGATGGTTGGATGGGTGGGTGGGTGGATGGATGAATGGGTGAGTGGGTGGTTGGATGGATGGATGGATGGATGGGTGGGTGAATGGATGAATGGGTGAGTGGGTGGGTGGATGGATGGATGGATGGATGGTGGGTGGATGGCTGGCTGGATGGATGGATGGGTGGGTGGGTGGATGGTTGGATGGATGGGTGGGTGGATGGATGAATGGGTGAGTGGGTGGTTGGATGGATGGATGGATGGGTGGGTGGATGGATGAATGGGTGAGTGGGTGGGTGGATGGATGGATGGATGGGTGAGTGGGTGGGTGGATGGATGGCTGGATGGCTAGGTGGATCGATGTGTAGATGGACTTGAAGGCCCAGAGACTGATCTCATCTCTCCAGCTCCAGCTGGAAGCAGAGATGTGCCATCCCTCACCCCACCCCGGCATAGCTGGCCCGCAACATTTCTGAGCAGCTAGGGAAGCAGGCACGCTACAGGATAGCCAAACCCCAGCTTGGGCTGTTTGGGGTCCTGGCCTGGGGACAGAAGTAGGTGACCAGCCATCCCATTGTGTCTGGGATTGGGGTGGTTCCCATGACTCAAGACTTGGTTTTACAGGATTTTCTGGGAAATGGGGCTTTCAGAGCCAAAACTGGTCCCCCGAGAAGGGTGACAGACCCCAGCCTACCCCTCCTGCAGGGTACCACTGAGGAGTCAGGCTGAGGCATCCTTTCTGGGGCCCAGCTCAGAGAGGAGACAGCCTGTTTGTGTGAAGTGGAATGTGGCATTCTCCCTCTTCCAGTCTCAGCTGTGTGTGGGTTGTAGTTTAGCCCCTCCATCCCCTCTCCTCTTACCGGGTAAACTTGTGCAGTGAGCAGTCTTCACAACTGTACATGGCAGTCCTGCACTGGTCTTTTCCCGTCTCTGCAGTTTCTCTGGGTCTCGCTCCGGGGGCAGGGACCATGCCCTGGGCTCAAGCTGAGCTGCTGTCCCCTAGCAGCAAGTGTGGGGCTCATGGGGGTGATTACTAATGATCAAAACCATGGATCTGAACTGAGCCACAGCAGAATCTCCCAGAGGGCCTGATGGCACATGGTTTGGGTTTCAAATTCAGGAAGCCTGGGGTGGGTCCTGAAAATGCAGATTTGTGTTCCTAACAAGTTCCCGGGTGCTGCTGATGCTGCTGGCCCAGGGACCCCACTTTGAGAAGCACTGGACTCTAGCTCTGGGTTTCTTACAGAGGCTTCCCCCAGCAAGGCAGCAAGGAAGGTCCCCCAGGCCCCGGTTGTCTCCACTTTGGGGGAGGGCGGATGTGGGGTCCATGGCAGGGCGAGCCTGCAGGTGACAACAGCGACACCTGGTGGCTTCTCGGTGCCGGCCCGGGGCTCAAGAGACAACCGCATCTCACACACACGCACACGCGTGCACACACCGCATCTCACGCATCTCACACACACGCACACGCGTGCACACACCGCATCTCACGCATCTCACACACGCGCACACACATGTGCGCGTGTGCCCCGTCACATGTGAGGGACTCAGCGGGCATCCCCATTGCAGAGGTGAGGAAGCTGAGACTCAGGGACACTCAGAAGAGCCCACGCTGGTCAGCGCTCAGCTGAGCAGGATGGAGCACGGGAGGCAGGGGTCCCACAGGCCTGTGATGTGGGGGCTCGTGCCTGGAGTGGGGCCAGGATCCTGCCCTTGGCCTGCCTCAGAGAAGGAGGGTGGTGCTGAGGCCTGGGCCTCCCTTGGGCCCTAGCACCTGGGGCCTTGGGCTGTGGATTGTGGACACTGCTGGCCAGCAACACAGGGCCCATGGCTTTTTGGGGCTATAGCCCCATCTTGGGACCTGGGGTGGCCCTGGGGAGCAGGGGCTCTGAGGGGCTGCCTCGAGAGAGGCTTCTGGCTGAGCCTGCCGTGGGTGTGCAGGAGGAGGGGCAGAGGTCCTGAGGGTGTTTCCCCGGGACTCAGGAACATTCTAGATCATAGCCGGTGTGCCTTGCCGACCCATCCTGACCTTTGACCCGGTCAAGGTCTCCAGGCTGAAGGGTGCTCGAGACAAAACAGCTGGGTGTGGAGGACTGGCTGTAGGCTCTGGACCCTGGCCAGACCTTGCTGACCCTGGTCGTGAGGCGGGTTCTGCACACTCCTGCACTTGTGGGCACCGCGCTGAGCTGGGAGGCTTGGGGGCGAAGAGGAGGGCAGGACGCTCACATGCCCCATGGTGTCCCCATGCTGGCCCACAGGGTGTTGGGGTCAGCAGCCACCTGGGTCTGCTCCAAGGAAGACGCCAGGCCACAACCGTTGACTGCGGTTGTCCCGCACGCCAACAGGACGGGGCTGCGAGAACGCTCCAGAATAGGGAGGCTGGGGGGTCGGGAGGTGGTGGGTCCCCAGACAGTGAGCGGGGGAACCCAGGACACCTGGGCCACGTGGTTGGGGTGGTGACTCCCTGGCTGCAGGAGGTCAGGGTCGGGGCTGACCTGCAGCGGTCTGAAGTTATTTCCCAGTGAGAAGGAAAAGAGGAGCAGGATCTCTGGATGCACTTAACCTTCTGGACTTGGATTAGCCGTCTGTAAAGTGGGCACAAGCGTCCGATCCGGGCTTCTGTGTGAAAAGCGGGAGACACTGGCCAACATCCTGGACGCGGTGCGGAGGCACAGAGAGGTCTATCGGTGGCCCTAGGTCACACAGTGGGGAGTGGCCAGTCCACACCCAGCCGTGCAGACCTGGGACTGTGGTGGCGTGGGTGCCGGGAGGGTGGCTGAGCTGCCGCTGGTCTGCCGTGGAGGCCCAGTGTCCGGCTCCCTGGCGCAGTGAGGTGGCGGGGCGGCCCACCGGCTCCAGGACACCAGGCCAGAGCTCAGAGCAGCATTATGTCACTGCGTGCCGTTTGCTCTTCTGGGTGTTTCTCCCCGCTCCGAGTGGTAAATGGTTAGCTCTGCACAGCCTTGCCCCTGCTGCCCTCTCCCTGGGCTGTGGCCCGGGGCTCAGTGTGGCTGAGCAGGTCAGGGCAGGGGTGAGGAGCCTGACCCTGGCTGTGCCCCTGCCCTGCCCCCACAGGCAGAGGGCTTGGGTCTGTGTTTGCTGAGCCTGCCTCTCCCTGTCCCCAGATGAAGGTCACCGCGTCCAGAGGGGGCGACCGCCACAGTGGGGATGACAGCCTCCACGAAGCCACCAGCTCCCGGACAAGCAGCTCTCGGGACCAGCTCAGTGACGTGAGTGCCCTGGCCGCTTGCTCAGCCAAATGCTCCTGGTCCCTCGGGTGCCCCCAGCCGGCCCCCCCACCTCCGGCAGACACTGCAGGCCACGTGCTTAGCACCTGAGAGTCTCACCGAGGGCTTTGCCTTTGCAATTAGTATTTTGCCTTCATTAAAGCCTGGCTTTTCACTAATTAGGACTTCCCTGCTAGGAGGGGTTTCTATGAGGAACTTGGATGAGGCCCCAGCAGGAGTCATGGGGAGGCCCTTGTCCAGCTGGGGGTCTGCCCTCGTCCACTGGTGCTGCTGGCTGGGCAGTGGGCAGGGAGGTGGGGCCGTGGTGGGAACAGCGGCGGGCAGTGCTTCTGGCCTGGTGGGCGGGCCTGCTGGGGCCACTGGGAGGGAGGGCGTCCCGGTCTGGGGACAGACAGTGTCCCAGAGGATAGGCCCCTGAGCCTCAGGCCTAGTGTGGGATGACCAGGCAGCACACAGAGGATTGAATTTGGGGTATGGCCAGCGTAGGCGTGCTGGGTACCCTCCAGGGCCCCTGGGTCTCCCTGGTCACAGCCACTTGGGGGTAGGTGGGCACAGGGCAGACTAGGATGAAGACAGGGGAGAGGGGTCCCAGGAGGGGGGGTCCCCCAGGAGGGGGGTCCCCCAGGAGGGGGGGTCCCCCAGGAGGGGGGGGGCGCCGGACCCCCCCAAGAGGCCTTTGTTTTCCTAGACCCCCAGCTGTGGAAGCACAGAGGCGTGGGGCTGGGTTTCTGAATGGAGTGAGCGTCTCTTATTATCATCTCAATAGGGGCCTGGGGGCGCGGCCTGTGGGGGGAGGCCAGGAGGAGGGCCTAATTGCCCGGCCCCGGAGCCTGTTGCCGCAAGATGGGAAAATAGGCTGGTAATTGTCTGGGGCCGTGGGGCTGCCCTACTTCGGACTCTAATTGCCGGTGGGACGCGTGAAGACGGATTCTGAGCACATCAGGGATGGCCCTGAGGGCGCACGCTGGGGAGCAGTTACAGCACCCCGCCCGCCCCCGCCAGCAGGGCTTAGGGGTGGGGCCCCCCCGCCAGGGTGAGCCCCCAGGACATGGCCAGGGTCTGCCTGGGGAAGGAAGGGTCCCAGAGCCCCGGCCGAGGCTGGATGGGGTGCTGTGTGCAGAGCTGAGCAGTCCAGGCTGCAGTAGGGAGACCCCCCCACCCACACACCACCCCCTGTGGTCACCCACCATCCTGGAGGAATCTGCAGCCAGACCTCCGTCCCCGCCTAGCATGCTCTGGACCCTGGTCTGCGGGTCCCGGATGAGCCCACGCTGGCCCGGCTGTGCACCTGCTCCTCACTCACACCCTGCACCACCCCCACATCCACCCGCCCTGTGGCCCTCTCCTGCTCCTTGTCCGCCCCCCTGCAGTGGAGTGCCCCTCCCCAAGCAGCTGCCTGCAAAGCCCAGCTCCTCACTGGTTTCTCCCGGCACATCTGAAATGCCCACTCAAGCCCGAGAGCACCCCACCAAGTGCTGTTGGGTCTCCCTCAAGGGACCTCCCTGGGTGGCCACAGTGTGCCCTGCCATCTCACTTCCGTGTCCCCGAGGTTACCCGTCCAGCTCCCCTTCCAGGAAGCCTGCCCCCCACCCCCGTACCCCCGCAACACTGTGACCCTGGGAGGCTGGAAGCTGCTGGGTGGTCAGTGGTAGGCCCACGGGGGCACAGAGGGGCGGGCCTGCCTCCCGTCCGTTCTCGTGGGTGGTAGAACTATGTGTGAAAAGGTGGGACCTGGCCCTTGCAAGGGGCCAAGATGTGCCCAAGGGCTGAGCCCATCACTGAGGGGACATGGTGACTTTGCCCGCCTCTCTGTTGGGTTGTCTGCTGGGCTGGGCCACGTCTCCTGAGTCTCTGGAGGAAGGTTCCGAACACGGGTCCTCAGGCACAGATGCAAGGCTGCTGGGGCTCTGGGACGCTCTGCTGTGCCCTCCTCTGCAGCTTCTGTCCAGGCCCCCGGCCTCATGCCCCACCGCCCCGGGAGTGGCCCGTCAGCCATCAGCACCCAGGAACAGGGGCTCTGAAGGAGGCTCAGGTCCTGGGCCAAGGGGGTGGTCCTCAGAGGAGGGGCCACCGTTGGGAGCCGTGACCCTCCTCCTGACTATGCTTCCTTCCCCGCAGAGCTCTACGCAGGCCGTCTCGGGCAGAGGCTACTCGGTAAGTCTGCCGCCCCCTCCTCTGCTGGCTGGACCCATGCATGCCCCGCGCCTCTGCAGCCCCCAGCCGTCCTGAACGCCTCCCCGGGGCCAGACACCTCAGGGTGGTCCTGGCCCTGCAGCGGGGCTGGGGAGGGGGCCAAAGCTGGCGGGGATTGGGAGGGAGCATCACACATGCTCAGGGTCCTGCCCTGGGAGAGACCAGCTGACCCTCATTCCCTGACTTCCTGAGGACTAGGGGTCGGGGAGACGCTCTCCTTCTGGGTCCTGCCGGGAGGCACTCAGAGTGAAGGGCCCCAGGCACCGAGCAACCGCCCCCCGGGGACTTGACACTCCCACGCCACTCTCCATACTCAGCCTGGACTCAGGCATGAGGCCCCTGGGCCCCGGGGGCAGGAGGTGGCTGGCCGGCCTGGGCCTGAGGAGTCCACCTCTGTGGGGGCCACCTCCCTACCCTTGCCTGCCGCCCTAGCCCCAGCCCCAGCCCCAGCCTCTGCCCCTGCTTCCTGCCCCTCCCCCTGCCCCACCCCAGGGAAGCAGCCCCTATCCTTTCCTCAGGACTTCATTTCGTTGCCCCTTAACTATCAGGAGGGACGTTAATGACACCATAAAACCCAGAGCTCCATAAAAGCCATTTCTGCAGATTCACAGCTGTTTTCGCTCATTGGAAGGCGGGGCCTGGGCCCCGCCCGCCTCATCCCTCCCCCGCCCAAACCACGGCCCCTGATTTGCTGCGAGCTCCACAGTGCCAGGCGTGCAGGGCTGCTTCTCTAACTCACATCGGCTTTTTATAGGGTGTGTAATTAACCCGCTGATTTTCTTTGTAGCAAGACACCCTGCAGCCCTGGGCCTCCCCAGCCGCCCAGCCGCCCTGACCTCAGGGTCAGGTGGGTCAGGTGCTGTGTTTTACAGCGTTGCACCCGGTGGGTTGTACGCTTCTGGGTGGTGTGACGCCGGAGGGCTGTCTCCCTGGGGGAGCCCTGCCCTCCTCGGGTCCCCGGTCACAGCCATGGGTGACGGCCCTGCACTGCCCCTTCCTCCCACCGCCCAGGCGGTCTCAGCATGTCAGCCACTCCTGAATGGAGCCGCACTCTGGCCAGGAGCTGTGCCAGCACTGGGCTCCAGCTGGGGACACGGCAGGCAGACCTGCCAGTGTGGGAAGTGGCTGGCGATAACACGCTGTGTGATGCAGGTCAGGATCGGGCAGAGTGAGGGGCCAGGACCCCTACCAGCAGGTGAGGTAAGCGGTGTGTGCCAGCCCGAGGGTCCCAGAGGGGCCAGGCTCAGGGGTGCCCCATTTGGAGCCTGCTTCTGTGTCTGAGAGCCCCTGGGCAGCTGGGGCCTCCCTGCCCTGAGCCTCCTTGCCAGAGCCCCTGGGCAGCTGGGGCCTCCCTGCCCTGAGCCTCCTTGCCAGAGCCCCTGGGCAGCTCTTCTACTTCCAGACTGCGTGTGTTATTCATGGTCTTCTCCCCAAAGAGCTCCTTTGCATGTTTCCTGAAGAACCCGTAATTAATGTGCCAGCTACTTGCAACTTAATCCCCCATGGCCGCGTCACGGGAGTGACAGGTGGTGGCAAGGACAGGCCCGGCCTGCTGCTGGGGCCATGGGGGTTCCTGTGTGTGCACACCAGGTGCTGGCATGAACAGGTGTGTGTGCTGGTCCCTAGCATGTGCAGGTGTGTGTGCTGGTCCCTGGATGAGCAGGTGTGTGCATTAGGCCCTGGCATGAACAGGTGTGTGTGCATCAGGCCCTGGCATGAGCAGGTGTGTGCATCAGGCCCTGGCATGAGCAGGTGTGTGTGCATCAGGCCCTGGCATGAGCAGGTGTGTGTGCATCAGGCCCTGGCATGTGCAGGTGTGTGTGCTGGTCCCTGGATGAGCAGGTGTGTGCATTAGGCCCTGGCATGAGCAGGTGTGTGTGCTGGTCCCTGGATGAGCAGGTGTGTGCATTAGGCCCTGGCATGAGCAGGTGTGTGTGCTGGTCCCTGGCATGAACAGGTGTGTGTGTGCTGGTCCCTGGCATGTGCAGGTGTGTGTGCTGGTCCCTAGCATGAGCAGGTGTGTGCATCAGGCCCTGGCATGTGCAGGTGTGTGTGCTGGTCCCTGGATGAGCAAGTGTGTGCATTAGGCCCTGGCATGAGCAGGTGTGTGTGCTGGTCCCTGGATGAGCAGGTGTGTGCATTAGGCCCTGGCATGAGCAGGTGTGTGTACTGGTCCCTGGCATGAACAGGTGTTTGTGCATCAGGCCCTGGCATGTGCAGGTGTGTGTGCTGGTCCCTAGATGAGCAGGTGTGTGCATTAGGCCCTGGCATGAGCAGGTGTGTGTGCTGGTCCCTGGATGAGCAGGTGTGTGCATTAGGCCCTGGCATGAGCAGGTGTGTGTGCTGGTCCCTGGATGAGCAGGTGTGTGCATCAGGCCCTGGCATGAACAGGTGTGTGTGCATCAGGCCCTGGCATGTGCAGGTGTGTGTGCTGGTCCCTGGCACGAGCAGGTGTGTGCATCAGGCCCTGGCACGAACAGGTGTGTGTGCATCAGGCCCTGGCACGTGCAGGTGTGTGTGCTGGTCCCTGGCACGAGCAGGTGTGTGCATCAGGCCCTGGCATGAGCAGGTGTGTGTGCATCAGGCCCTGGCATGTGCAGGTGTGTGTGCTGGTCCCTGGATGAGCAGGTGTGTGCATCAGGCCCTGGCATGAGCAGGTGTGTGTGCATCAGGCCCTGGCATGAACAGGTGTGTGTGCTGGTCCCTGGCATGAACAGGTGTGTGTGTGCTGGTCCCTGGATGAGCAGGTGTGTGCATTAGGCCCTGGCATGAGCAGGTGTGTGTGCTGGTCCCTGGCATGAACAGGTGTGTATGTGCTGGTCCCTGGCATGTGCAGGTGTGTGTGCTGGTCCCTGGCATGAGCAGGTGTGTGCATCAGGCCCTGGCATGAGCAGGTGTGTGTGCTGGTCCCTGGATGAGCAAGTGTGTGCATTAGGCCCTGGCATGAGCAGGTGTGTGTACTGGTCCCTGGCATGAGCAGGTGTGTGTGCATCAGGCCCTGGAATGTGCAGGTGTGTGTGCTGGTCCCTGGCACGGGCAGGTGTGTGTGCTGATCCCTGCCATGTGCAGGTGTGTGTGTGCTGGTCCCTGGATGAGCAGGTGTGTGCATTAGGCCCTGGCATGAGCAGGTGTGTGTGCTGGTCCCTGGCATGAACAGGTGTGTGTGTGCTGGTCCCTGGCATGTGCAGGTGTGTGTGCTGGTCCCTAGCATGAGCAGGTGTGTGCATCAGGCCCTGGCATGAGCAGGTGTGTGTGCTGGTCCCTGGATGAGCAAGTGTGTGCATTAGGCCCTGGCATGAGCAGGTGTGTGTACTGGTCCCTGGCATGAGCAGGTGTGTGTGCATCAGGCCCTGGAATGTGCAGGTGTGTGTGCTGGTCCCTGGCACGGGCAGGTGTGTGTGCTGGTCCCTGGCACGGGCAGGTGTGTGTGCTGATCCCTGCCATGTGCAGGTGTGTGTGCTGGTCCCTGGATGAGCAGGTATGTGCATTAGGCCCTGGCACGAGCAGGTGTGTGTGCTGGTCCCAGGTGTGTGCCGGTGGGCGCTGCAGGGTGCAGGTTGTTGTCCCGGCCCTCCCAGAAGCAGAGGTGCCTCTGGCACTGCAGGAGCCGGAACCAAGCCAGGTGACCCTCGTCCAGTAGGAGCAGGCAGGGTGGTGTGGCTAGGGCCAGGCCTGGAAAGCACTGTGAGCCCAGCGCCCGGATCGCTTGTGTGCACTGGGCCCCCAGGGCTGTCTGTGGCTGCCAGCACTGCCCACCCGTGGCGTCAGGGCTGGGCCAGCTGGACTGGGCAGAGGGGGGCTACAACCCTGCCTCTAAATCCAGGCCCTCACCATGGGACCCTCGGCCACTTGAGCATGCACGCTGAGGTCGAGGCCTGGGTGTGTGCCTGCCTGTTCCAGTGGGTAGGCCGTGTGGCTTCCGCCTGCACCCGCCCTGCGTGCAGCTCGTGGGTGGCTCTGTGAGAGCAGAGTGTGTGCCGGGGCCCCTGTGTCTCCACGTGGCTGCGCTGGGCTGGGCACACCTGTGCGTACCGGGGTCCTGTGTTTCTTTCTGGGCCGTCTGCGTGTCCGTCTGGAAGGGTGTGTGCGTGCCACGTGTGGATCTGCACGTAAGTGACGGGTATGGCCTGGGTGCCGGGGTGTGACCCGCGGCTTCACGTGCAGGGGTGCAAGTGTGCCCGGGGGCCTTGCTCCTGTGTGTCTATAAGTGGGCCTCAGGCGCGTGTCCGTCCCCAGTAGTGTCCCTGCCGAGGCGACCCGGGAAGTTGTCACCTGACCTGCTTTATAGACCGTACTTAACGGGGTTTGGTTCTGTGAGGTTTATTCCCAGCAAATCCCCAATTACTGCTCATCCTCGACAGCTTGTCCTGAAAGCTTGGTGCAGCCTCCCCGGCACGCATCACATGTGCCTTAGTGCCGTGAAGTCAATTGGAAAGTCATTTTCTCCATTCAGCTGCTGGGAACTGGGGATGTGATGACCCATCTCCCTCCGGAGCAGGGCTTGGGGGTTCCTTTATTAAAGGGAGATGCGGGTCTGGATGCCTGCCGGGGCCGGGAGGCCAGCTGGGTGCGGTGCACGGCGTGTTCTGGAAGGGCCTGGGCTCACAGAGGCTCCAGGGCTGTGGACAGGAGCAGAGGCAGAGCAGCAGCGATGACACTGGCCACCACCTGCAGTGAGCCCGGGAGGCCTCAGGCCCTCCACGTGGACATTGTCACCCTGGCAATGACCCCCAGCCTCTAGGTGAGGACACTGAGGCGCAGGGGTCAGAGAACCCACCACGGGTGCCCACTGAGGGGCCTAGCTGAGACCAGGAGCCGGCAGGCCCGCCCGCAGGTCCCCTCCCTTCCTCAGACCGCCCTCCTCCCGCCCCCAAGTGTTTGCTGACCCGAATGGCCAGTGTCCCTGCTCACCAGCCTCGCCGTGGGGAAGATGGTGAATAAAGCCAGTGAGAACCGCTGCTAGCTGGAGGCGGTGAGGGCCGTGGCGGACAGGTGGTAGGGAGGGGCAAGGCCAGGCTGCAGGTGGGCACAGTGTCCGTGGCGGGGCAGGAGTGCCTGCCACAGGGCCACGGAGGGGGGCTGCTGTGGCCAGCAGGGCACCCCTGCCTGTCCCCCGCACCACCGTGCCCAGGCAGCGGGGCCCTGTGCTGGCACACTCCGGCATCTAGGGAGACCCACGGCCTGGGTAATGGTTACAGAAGGTTCCTTCACTCCTGTGCCTGGGCCTCCGTTCCCCCGACGTGGGCGTCCCTGTGTGGTCCCTGCTCGGGCGGGTTGGGCCTCCTCACAGCTCAGGGGCCGCACCCAGGGTCCCGAGGGCAGGAGCCAGGAGGAAGCATTGGTGGTGGCTCCCACACCCTCTCGTCACCAGACCCACCTGGACTCGCGGGGCGGGACTGGGGCCCCTTTTCTCAGCAGGAGGGTGCCCACACTTCGTGAGATGGGCACAGGCTGCTGTGGGCTACACCCCACCACACAAGCCCCTTACCTGTGGACGAGGGGCAAGCAGGCTTGTATACCTGAGCATACATGCAGCCGGGGGGCCTCGGGCCACCCCAGCTCCCGGGGATGGTAGCTCCTGGCTCTGCACCTGCTTTCCCACTCCTGGCAGGAGGGTGCAGCCCGCCTTCTGCCCGAGGTAGCGGGATGGGTACGTGCAGACCACTTGGCAGGTTTGCCCCTTGAGCCAGGGACCTCTGTGGTTAAAGATGGGGGTTGCAGTATGAGATGGGGGTGCACTCGGGTCCCACTGAGGTGTTAGATGGCAGGAGGGTGGGTGGGCGCGCGCAGTGAAACCCTGGCCAGCCATACGCCCCCCGGGGGAGGGGGGGCGGGGAGGTGCCTGGGGTGCCCCTCGCTGTCCTGAGACCTGTTGGCTCCCCAGGAATGGCCCAGCACTCACGGTCCCCAGCCACCCCCCTGAACAGCACAGGCCTTCGCTGACCCAATCAGCGCTGGCAGACCCCAAAGCAGGCTCTCTCTTTATGAGGCAGGTTTATGACATCCATTACCCTGCTCCTTGGGCCACTTCTGAGCGGCCGTAATTTGTACAAAAGCAATAAAAGCCAGTCAGCCTCCCCCTGGAGTCGGGGAGCTGCGTTCTCCTCACGACCTCTGAGCACGGAGGCAGTCCTTAAGCCAGCTGCTGGGGAAGTGCCGCCGCTCAGAGGATGGTGGGGACGGCGGGGTGTGTCCTGAGCACAGCGTCCTGACCTGTGATGCAGCCCCAGCCTGGCCAGGCTTTTGTCAGATCCCCTGTCCACCCGCCCCTGCACCCACCCTTCACTCGGCCCACCTCCTAGGGCCCTGGGGTGCAGCCATGGCCCACATCTGTCCAGCTGGTAGGACACGGGAGTCCTTCCCTTGGGTTGGTAAGGAGCCCTGGGTCCCTGTCCCCCAGCACTTCGGCTGTGGCTGGGCTCAGGGGGTGTCAGCCCCAGCCTGCCCGCGCCACCTCCTCGGGCTGGTTGTAGGGTTGTCAGCATGGCCCTTGGGTACATCCCAGAGTGTATTTGCAGGGAAGCCAACCCTGATGTGGAGACAGACGAGGGAGTGGCCTAGCAGAGCTGGGCTGGCCCTTTAATGCTCATTCAGTAGATGTGGCACCAGGAGGGGTGTGGCCTGAGGGGCCCCTGCTCCTGAGCTTCCTTCCCGTGGGCCCTGCTGCAGGTGGCCGACTCTCAGCAGCTAGGTTGCAGGTTCTTCCAGAAAGGGGGCAGGGCAGTGAATTGCTGTGCAGCCCCAGGTAGAGCAGGACAGAACAGAGGATGAAAAGATAAACAGGTGACCTGACCTACCCAGTGCTTTAGCTGGTGGCAAGTGCTGAGGAGAAAGATGCACCAGGCAGAGGGGGTGCTGGTGTGGGGGGGTAGAGGGGAGGGGTGCCGGTGTAGAGGGGAGGGGTGCCGGTTTGGAGGGGTAGAGGGGAGGGGTGCCAGTGTGGAGGGGAGGGGTGCGGGTGTGGAGGGGGTAGAGGGGAGGGGTGCCAGTGTGGAGGGGGTAGAGGGGAGGGGTGCCGGTGTGGAGGGGAGGGGTGCGGGTGTGGAGGGGGTAGAGGGGAGGGGTGCCGGTGTGGAGGGAATAGAGGGGAGGGATGCCAGTGTAGAGGGGAGGGGTGCCGGTGTGGAGGGAATAGAGGGGAGGGATGCCGGTGTAGAGGGGAGGGATGCCAGTGTAGAGGGGAGGGGTGCTGGTGTGGAGGGGGTAGAGGGGAGGGGTGCGGGTGTGGAGGGGGTAGAGGGGAGGGGTGCCGGTGTGGAGGGGTAGAGGGGAGGGGTGCCGGTGTGGAGGGGGGTAGAGGGGAGGGGTGCCGGTGTGGAGGGGGGTAGAGGGGAGGGGTGCTGGTGTGGAGGGGAGGGGTGCCGGTGTGGAGAAGTAGAGGGGAGGGGTGCCGGTGTGGAGGGAGTAGAGGGGAGGGGTGCCGGTGTGGAGGGGAGGGGTGCCGGTGTGGAGGGGGGTAGAGGGGAGGGGTGCTGGTGTGGAGGGGAGGGGTGCCGGTGTGGAGAAGTAGAGGGGAGGGGTGCCGGTGTGGAGGGGGTAGAGGGGAGGGGTGCCGGTGTGGAGGGGGTAGAGGGGAGGGGTGCCGGTGTGGAGGGGAGGGGTGCCGGGGTGGAGGGGGTAGAGGGGAGGGGTGCCGGTGTGGAGGGGAGGGGTGCCGGTGTGGAGGGGGTAGAGGGGAGGGGTGCCGGTGTGGAGGGGAGGGGTGCCGGGGTGGAGGGGGTAGAGGGGAGGGGTGCCGGTGTGGAGGGGAGGGGTGCCGGTGTGGAGGGGGTAGAGGGGAGGGGTGCCGGTGTGGAGAGGGTAGAGGGGAGGGGTGCCGGTGTGGAGGGGAGGGGTGCCGGGGTGGAGGGGGTAGAGGGGAGGGGTGCCGGTGTGGAGGGGAGGGGTGCCGGTGTGGAGGGGGTAGAGGGGAGGGGTGCCGGTGTGGAGAGGGTAGAGGGGAGGGGTGCCGGTGTGGAGGGGAGGGGTGCCGGGGTGGAGAAGTAGAGGGGAGGGGTGCCGGTGTGGAGGGGGTAGAGGGGAGGGGTGCCGGTGTGGAGGGGGTAGAGGGGAGGGGTGCCGGTGTGGAGGGGAGGGGTGCCGGGGTGGAGGGGGTAGAGGGGAGGGGTGCCGGTGTGGAGGGGAGGGGTGCCGGTGTGGAGGGGGTAGAGGGGAGGGGTGCCGGTGTGGAGAGGGTAGAGGGGAGGGGTGCCGGTGTGGAGGGGAGGGGTGCCGGGGTGGAGGGGGTAGAGGGGAGGGGTGCCGGTGTGGAGGGGAGGGGTGCCGGTGTGGAGGCGGGTGCTGCTCTGCGGGGGAGGGTGCTCCGTCTCGGTTGATGTTCCGGATCAGCAGGCTCTGCCGGCAGGTGTGTGTCTGCAGGTTCCAGGCAGTCCCGCGGGCACTTTTCCGAACCTCGTCTTTCCGGGCTGTTCTCTGCAGGTAGCCTGGTCCTTGTCCCCTTGCTCTGCTGTCCCAGATAGAGGTCAGCCTGGCCAGGGCGGGGTGTGCACCAGGCGCACCAGGGCCACGCGCCCTCCCCTCCCAGGGTGCGGGTCAGAGAAACTTCCCACCCCGACCCCTTGGTCCTGCCAGGTGCTGGAGGTGGAGAGCAGCTGTCCCCCTGAATGGCGGCCCCACTGGCCTCTTGCCGCACCCTGCTGGTGGCCGCCCCCCACTCTCGGAGCCGGGCTGCATGTGTGCTGGGGAGGCAGGCATCCAGGAGCCCCCACAGGTCACAGCCCGGGCAGCACAGACCGGGACAGCCGCTGGCCCCTCCCAGCCCTGGGACCCGGGGCCTTGGGCAGCGAGGGGTCCGCACCTGGCCCAGCAGGTGGCCGGGACCACACTCGGCGGCACAGGACAGGTGTCAGAACTGCCTGCAGAGGTCACGTGTGGCTCCCCGGCGCGGGATGGGGGACGGGTGGGGAGCCAGATGCCACTTGCCCGTTGCCCTGCTCACAGTCCTCCCTTTGGGGGGGACAGCTGGGCAAGGTCGGGCAGGGGTCTCAGGTGTAGGGCAGGAGTGTGAGGCTGCCGTGGGGCTGGGGGCCTCGGTTTTCTCCGCAAGACGGCTGGAGCACAGAGAGGGAAGGAGCATCCCACGTGTTTGCTGTTCCTGCACCGCCCATGTCCCGGTCCCCCCCAGAGTGCACAGCACCGTGGAGCGCCACGTGTGTGCAACAATGCCGTGGCCTCAGCACCACCCGCCGCAGGAGGGCCCCATCCACTGGGGGTGCAAGCAGAGCGCATCTCGGGGTCCCTGCCCTAGCGGGCGGACAGTGGGAGATAACAGACCCTTCAGCGGCAGGTGCTTTCAGAGTGTTGGCTGCCAGCATGGGGGTTGCTGGGATGAGTGTGCCCTGTGGCCAGAGAGGAGCCAGCGGGGACATCAGGCCAAGGGCAGATTTGAGGTCAGGACTGAGTGGAAGAAGGAAGGGGCCACATGGAGGGTGAGGGGCCCAGCCAGCCCCCAGGGCTGAAAGGGAGGCGGGCTTCAGGAAAGGCTTGTCCCAGCAGCCCAAACACATCCAGCCCATTGGCACTTCTCTGGGCAGGTCACTCCATGGGAGTTTTGGGTTGCTGTCAACAAGAGGGGGCCTGGGTCCTGGGAGGTGTCTGGGGTGTCAGGGCACCCTCCTCCAGCTGGGAGCCTGGAGCCCTGGACCACAGTTATCCATGCCTCGGGGGTCACAAGGTGTGTCCCATTTCTTTTTTTTTTTTTTTTAGATTTTTATTTATTTATTTATTTATTTGACAGAGAGATAGGAGAGCAGGAACACAAGCAGGGGGAGTGGGAGAGGGAGAAGCAGGCTTCCTGCAGAGCAGGGAGCCCGATGTGGGACTCGATCCCAGGACCCTGGGATCATGACCTGAGCCGAAGGCAGACGCTTAACGACTGAGCCACCCAGGCGCCCGGTGTGTCCCATTTCTTGTGCTGCCCTCTGAGCAAGGCTTGGATTTAGGGGCAGGAGAGCCTGTGTTCATGAGAAGCCAGCTCGTCTTCGTGGCGTCCACCCATCTTTAAAATCTCCCTCCCCCATTATTTTGTTTCGAACTGGCCACAGGCCCATAAAAGAGAGTTCAGCCCGCTGCTGGTACGGAGCATTTGGCAGGAGAATGCCCCCAACCGGGCAGGCGTGGGGTCAGGCGCGTGGGTGGGCCACAGATTTGGGCCTGCCTCGGTCACTTTGCAGGGACTGCCAGGAGAAGCCACCCAGATGCCCCCCTGCACCCCTGTGCCTGAAGCCTCGAGCCTGCGCACAGGGTCCCTCCCCTCACCCAGTCCACAGGGAAGACCGCTGAGGGCTGCGTCCTCGTCTTGTCCCGTCACTGCTTTGTGGACTCAGCTCTAGGGAGCTGTGTCTCTGTGGCGTCCCCTGGGATCACTTGGGGACGTTTGGCTGGGGCAGTGTGAGGCTGAGCCTTGGACAGCATGGTCACCCCGCGGTATCCTCTTGACTGGGACCGCACACAGCGTGGACTCAAGGAGGGGCTCTGGGGGCCACCATAGCCCCCTCATCTTGCCGGGTCCTCCCCTGGAGCCCCAGACGGAGCCAGCCTGCAGCCCTGCCCGCCCCCACCCCCGCGCTGCCTCCACAGCCCTCCCTCCCCGCCTGGCCTGAGGTGGGCAGCCCCTGCCATCCCTTTAGCGGGAGGGCACTGGGCTTCCCGCGTTTGCCAGCCCCCAGCTGTCCTTTCCCCATTCCGAAGGCAGGCCTCCAGCTGAGGTCCCCGGCAGGCTCTGCCTTCTTGCCTGGACCCTGTGTTGCTCCACTGTGCCCAGGGCATGTAGTTCTGAGCCAAGGACTCCCATCCCGCCAGGTCACCGGGCCACAGCCCTGTCCCCAGAGGCTGGACACAGCCTCTCTGGACAAGCCCCAAGGAGCCCTGATGGCGGTGGCCACACGTGCTAGAGGGAGGGCAGGCCGGGTGCCAGTCGGAAGCTGAAATTCAATTATGTGGAACACGCAGGGATGCTGGGGCACAGAAGGTTAGGAATGACTGTTAACACTGTTCTGGTTAAGACTTTTTGTGTTGATAAATAATTCATAAGGCAGTTAGCGCTTTGAGTCTGACAACATGAGAATATATTAATACAGTCGACTCCGTGAAAGGTCAGCCGCGTGCGGCGGGGCTGTGGGCCATCTTTTATTCATTCTCTGACACGGGCTCGTTAATTATTCCGGCCCAGCAAGGGCTGGTGGGAGAGCCGCTAATGAGAAAAAGGGAGCGTGGGCTTGATGTCTGACGTGCTGTCCATGCACCAAGGGCCCGGTACAGCCCCTGAGGCGGGAGCAGAGGGCCCCCACCTGTCCCCTTGAGGCTCTGGTGGGGCCAGGGTGGCTCCGAAGGAGCCGTCAGGGCCCCCCAGCTCAGGAGTGTCACGTAGTGGCCGTTTGCGGTCTCCGAGTATTTACTGAGCACCTACTGCAGGTGAGGGGTGGCTCCTGGCCCTGAGGTCAGAGGATTGAAGAAAACCCAGAAATCCCCACTCTTGTGGGGGCCATGGAAGGAAGGGCGGGTGGGAAATAGGAGGGATGAGTAAATGTGTAGCCTGTCAGAGCAAAAGTGCACAGAGTGGATGGAGCAGGGAGGGGAGAGAACGTGGAGGGGCCGTCGGGCTAGGGTCCAGGGGTGCCACTGAGCGCCCCTGGGAGGATGGCATTCATACAGGCCTAGGAACATGACCACATGTGTGGGGGCAGGAGTCTGTGTGTGCGTCTGCGTGAGTGTGCGGGCGTGTGCATGGTGCAGGTAGGGGGAGGCCTGCTGTGTGGCCAGGAGCTGCTGGTGGGAATAGAGGGTCACAGCAGGGGCGGCCCTGTTGGGACTCGGACTCCCAAGAAGGACAGGGCTGCCCCAGCTGCGG